AGTTCCTGAAGCAACATTTTTTTTTTATTATTTCTGGCTGCATTGAAATGCAGATGAAAGTGAAAATTTACAAAATGTTAATTTTAATTTTTGGATTTATTTTTTGACAGTATTTCTGTTCTAATGAGAGTATTAAAGGCCCTGGATTCTTTTGCTGTTTAATGAACTATAAATGTTGCCTGTGGCACAAATCACAAAGAGGACGACAGGAAGTAGTTGGAAGAACATGGTGCGGCATGTTTCCTTTATGATGAACAAACATATTCACAAGATTTTAATTGCATTTCTTATTTAAAGGAAACACAACTATTGTGAAATTATGTTTGTTCAACATTAGCCGAATACTGCAAGTTTTGTGCAACTTTGTAATAGAAGCACAACTAGTGAGCTGCTTCTAGTACGTAATCAGTATAATATCTCACTTACAGGGATATTTCAGTGGATTCTTGCATCATAATTCACAACACGGCATCCAATAATATCAAGATCTAAAGTGTAACTCCAATAATTCTCAACCAGTCCTTGGTAAATTTACTAGTATATTTTAGGTTACAAACTCTAATTTCTTTATTTTCTTTGCAGGTGATTTTGTATTTTCACCATCCAACCTCTGCTCTAATGTCTGACCGACTACCAGAGACTTACGTTAGATAATTAGATTTTTCTTGTTTATTTTGATAAATGTGACCTGTCCAGCAGTGTAGCAATCAGAATTGTTCTCTAATTCCATACAAACTAAGGTCACCTTTGAAAAGATCATATATGCATCGGACTTAAGACCAAGTGACCTGGGTCGCATAAAAAAAATCTGATCCATGTTGACTGTCATGAAAAGATCAGATACACAGAAAAAAAGAAGAAAATTGGAATGGGGTCACTTCATTCTGCAGTGTGAACATAACCTTAGTGTCAGGGAGGAGGCCAACAGATTCACTGTCAAAAGTGGAGCGTTACAGCGAGACTTTAATAAAGTCAAAAGAGCATGGAAACAGAACCAGAGGCTGAAGGACATAAAAGAAATAAAACTTTGGTCAAATTCCAATAAAGTCAAATATATATATTAAAAAAAATTATAGATAGGATGATGATGATGTAAACATAAAAGTCTATATGTGTTCTTATATATTAAGTCTCTAAGTGAGCATGAATCACTCTCCCAAATGTAGAAACTACATAAAATTGCTTTTGATTTTTTGTAAAATGTCAGATGAGTAAATCCAAATGGCAGCTGATTAAATCATAGATTTAATCCAGTTTTTAATTTCTGCTTTTAGGATGAGGTTAAAAATTCTAAGTTGTTTTTCATAGAAGGAAAATATGATCAAAAGTTCAGAAGAGAAAAAAAATGTTCAAAGGGCTTGTGATTTATCGGGTCAGGATAGATATGAAGATGATGAGTCAGAGAGAGAAAAGGAGGAAGGAAGGGAGAACAGGAAGGGAAGGGTGTAATCAAAGGCTGAATCTAGATGCCTGATTGCTCATACTGTCTTATAACACTCTCCATACATTAAAAAAACATTTCTTTGGAGTACACAGAACAACTTTTTAGGACTTTTCCCAAAAGATTTCAAATTCTACACTTTGGGTGGAAATGAAAACAGAAACAAGTCTGATGTGTGACAAACTATGAAGTTCTGAAACAGTATGAGCTTTCAGATTGTTGAACTTCCACTCTGTACTCCCAGAAACTGTCAGACATGACTGGCCTCTTTCTCTTCCAGTTCATCATACAAACCCACACATACAGGCAGACCTCCCAAACAGACCAACCATTCTGTCTCACACACAAACTACAACACAAAAACAGAATGAAAAGATCTACACTTTAGTAATGGTATTGTTTTAGTTTAATGAGATAGATTAGTTAGGCCTATAAGGAAACATTTTTGAAAAAAAAAACTGCGTGAATGTACCAGAATTACACAAAGTATTGCACCGCAGCTCATACGAATTACACATTTTTGCTGAAAAGTAGTTGGTTTCATCACTAAATGCTGAGAAATGACTTGATCAGAAGCGGGTTATTTTATCTTTTTGTACTTTTGTAAAGTCGTCTTTTCATAGTAGGAAATGCAGTCATCTACCCAAATTGGCTTGTATTGGCTTTTCAAATTGAGGGTTAAAAATTATTTTACAACAAGATAACCTGTGGCGTAGTCGCTATGGCAACCAAATATTTGGTTTTGTTCATATTAACCCAGAACTTTTGAAAGTGACCAAACCAACTTGAAATAATGCCCTCCAATTGCAACTGTTGCATGTTTTGGTTGCAATTACACAAAGATGCCCTGAATGAGTACGGTAATCCATTTTAATATTTAAGAAAAACAAAAACACATAATAGTAATGCTGGTACTTTTACATATATCAAAAATGGGAATGTTTCCTGTTAATAATACAACAACTCTTTGAAGAAACTTGAATGAATTTGCGTTACAACACCATTTTTGTTCCCTCTGGGACCAATTAAGAACTTTGAATTAAATTAAGAAATAATTTGCCTCTATCTATAAGGTTTGTTCTAAATAAAAATAATTTCATTCTTGGTTTCTAAAATGTAAATTTTTGTAAAGAAGAATTAACGTAAAGAAATTTGGTTATTAAATATTAAACATCAACAATCTTTCTGGGGAAACGAACTGTGGTCAATTAAATTTGGCCCAAACCATTTTCGAGTGAAAGCAATCTCAACTTTGCATTTTTAGCAGCACGGTACACACTTCCAGATCATACTGTGGGAATTTTAAGGGTTTAATGTAATTGTCTATAATCTGTTTACTGTAACGACACTGTTTGGCAATCCCAGTAAATGATCAATTATATGTATCAGAAGAAGGAGAGTCAGGGGGTTAGTCTAAATTCAGGGGCTGCCTCCTTCGAAGGTCGATTACGTCAATGTTTCCCAACCCTGGTCATCAAGGCACACTGACCTGCATGCTATAAATGTCTCCCTGCTTTAATACTCCAGATTCAAGTAATTGCAGTTCAGCATATGCCTGTAAATCATCCATCAATTGAAATCATCTGGGCTGAAGCAAGGAAATGCCTAAAAGATGCAGGGCAGTGTGGCTTGAGGACCACGGTTGGGAAGCACTGGCTTGTCAAAGTGAAGACTCTTCCAAATTCATCCTTATTTCCCCGAAATTGAGGGAAGGAAGGATGTAGTCTATCCCAAAACAAATTTATGATCTTAAGAATGTAATACAAACACAGCTACTGATACCTCGATTGCTCATGAACCATCTCTTAATATTTCATAACAGTATAGTGTAGAAATAGAAGATTACATTTGAACAAATTGTGGGATATAAGCATTTTTTTTTTACAAATATTTATCTCCATAATTCACCCCAAAATTTTGCTTTCAGGAATAATTAATTGGTATGAAACAGTTAGGTAGAAAATAAGTTGTTTAAAAGTATGAGATGGAATTAGGTTGGGGCAAAACGGTGATACTTGGTGTAACATGGGGGGCACAAACTGACAAAGGGGCAAAATGACTCATTCCCATTAGTCCTAGGAAATAGACATTATTTAGGCTGCACGCTAATATTTTTGTTGAAACATTACGATATTCATACTGATTTTGATCAACCAAGAGTTTTTGATTGTTCTTTTTGACAACAATGCCTCCATTACTTCCCAGACTCTCATAAAGCAAAAAATATGGGTGTATAGGGGTGTTAAGAGTCTATCTGACTGACTAAATAAATCACAGAGAAGCAGAGAATATGTCTATGTGGAACTTGAATAATAATACTCTACCAAACCTTGCATCCAATCAGTACTTTAAAATCTGGGATGTTGTGTAAAATTTTAATTGCTATAACAATTTAAATACATTTAAATACATTATGTGAGACTTCTAATGCATTGATGCCTATAGGCTTGAAAATCAAGTGGAACAAAAAATAAATAAATCACAAAAAGTTGTGAACCTTTTTGTTGTAATTTGTCAAAAACTGATCAACTTGGGATATTTTTCCATCTCGCCTCCAATGCATTAAGTATATATTAAGTTAATAATATCTGACATATATAACACAATCACAGTTTCATTTTTGGAACTGGTATGTTAAATTTACTTTCTGTAACCCAAAGGGTTACAAAATAGTATTTTTAATATTGTACCTGAACTTGTGAGATAAGACACACCTGCCTCACACTGGCTTTAGCAATAAGAGCGGCTTGTTCTTGTTTTTTTTTAAATATGCATGCTTAATATTTAATTGCTTCTATACGAACAAAATAACAAATAAGCAATGAGTCTGAATTCTGAATATTTCATGATTGCTTTTTATCATTAACTAGGAACTTAAAATAACAGACTACAATTCTAACAAAATATAGAGTTTTACAAAACAGTTTTACTCAAAAATAGAGTAATTTCAAATTAGTAAAGTTTCAACTAATAAAAAGAAACAGCTTGAACAGGAAGCACTGGTACAATTTCAAAGTTCAGTTAATGTGCTTTTTGAATTTTTAACAGTTCTGAAGTTCACATATGATGTGAATTAATAGGCCAGAGATCCTCTTGAAGCGCTTTCTTTATGGACTTACTGCAAACCAGATTAATGCCAGAAACACACTGCTATAAAATAGGATTTCTTCACTTTCAGAGAGATTTTAAGAACTCCAAAGAAACTGTTGAATTAAAAAATATATAATATAATGAACCTAATTCTAATCTAGCACTGGTGAAAATAAATTGTCTGGTGGGTCAAACCTATTGCATCTCAAGCCTTGATGCATTGCATTGCTATGAACTCAGGACCTTAAATTTTATCCGAATATTCGCCAAATAAAAAAGAAACATTCGCTGTTAGAGATCCATACCTCCACCAATATATATCAAAAGTATATTTATTAAAATGTATAATTGTTAAAATGAGCAGAGAACTTTGGGGAATAAAACGGAGTCCATTAAAAACTTAAATTAAGAAATCAAATTGTAAAATTGTAACTGAAAATAAGCATGGAGATGTTTTCATTTCTTTCATTTTTGTGGCAAGCTAAGTATTGCTAGCTGCAAGTTGAACCGGCTGTTGGGGGGAAGCAGACATGTTCTTTATTTTCAGCCTCCCGGGTCAGGAGTGTCATTAGACAGCCGGGATATCTGGATCTGGGAGTTTTGGTGCTTCGTGGTCGGGGTTTCGGTGGAGCAGAGACGACGCCCCGACTGCTGGATTAACCAGGAGCCGCCGCCATTACCAGTCGATGCTAGCTAGCTAGCCATTAGCACCAACGAAGGCCTTCAGGTTTGACGAGAGCGGTCGTTTCACTTTCATTTGTAGCTTCTAGTGGGTTAGGGTTGAAGAAGTGTTCACAGTAGCTGTTCATGTTTGATTTTATTTCGAGCGAAAAACCAGTTTAAATCTGAAAACCGGTGTACAACTTTTACCGCAAGCTAACGCGACGGCTTGTGCTAGCTGTACCCACAACCAGGGATGCTGGGAGGGGATATTAAGGAACCTTAGGGTCCACAAATATCGGCATGCCATTCTTTTTCGAATAAATAACACAATTAGAAAAGATTTGTGATACATTTATACAACTATAATTCCATGAAAGTGATAAATCAGCTGATATTTTTTTCGTATTTTGCTAGGGCTAACAGTGACAGCAGTTTAGGGATACAGGTGAAGTGCATTTATTTTCTCAGTTCACATAATTCTGGCTAAAATCGGGACACAGTTGTGTATGTGTGTGCGAACCTTTTTGATATTGTAAACACGAGTCAACATCCCGATGCCTCTGTCGTTGAGGATGGTGAGTTTTTCCGCCAGTTTCTGCTGGCTGGGCTGCATCACTCCCCGAGACATCTTCTCGCTTTATATCTCCAACCCCGATCCAGAAAAAAAATATGGGAAATATCCGCAGCCTCTGGTTCCAAAAATGATTCAAAAATAGAAACCGTGATTTCTGTAGTGTTTAGATTTCGCCCATGTTCAGATAGGTTTTAGGGACAGCAGCTTCCTGTACTCCACCCCTCTGTCTCCCTGTCTGTTTTTTTCGGTCACAGGGATGAGGAGTTGTCCTGGTTTTTACAACGAGACTGGTTTGTGGTGCGTTCAAACACCGTTGTAACATTCAGTTTAGCGTCATGTCTTTTGAAATTCAAAAGCAAGCGTTTAATATTTACATCAAATGGAGGAGTTATTTTTTTCTCTTAAGGTTCAGATTACTCGCTGTACCAAAAAAACACAGAATATACACAAAAGTAATCCAATGTATATGTTAAGAACTGACACAAAACATTTTGAAGCATTAAAAACGAGGTGGCAATGAACATATACATGTAAAATATCCGCATAGAGAAATATTGGTCAAAGTTAAGTAAAGTGGCACATTATTACTGTCCAGATAGTTTTAAAAGTAAACAGTGTTATGGTGTAACTTGAAAGATATACAAAATTGTCACAATTTCTAACCAGTGTCTCTCAATGAATATTATTTTTGTCAATGAAATTTCAAAGAAGCTGATTTAATATATAATTGTTTAGGCATTTTAGTGAAAAAGTGTAAAATTTTGTAGATATTTTTGTAGCTAATTTTACTGTGTATGGATGTGTATACACTGGAGAGAATAAGTGATATGTTTTCCTACTTCTAAAAAGTTGAGAGGTCTGTTATTTTTAAGAAAATCCAGAAAATTACATTGTAATTATTACGTTTGAATAATTAATTAATTAATTTGAAGTTTATTGCCTTTGAAACAAGAGGGAAGTATAGCTTAATATTTGGTAGAAAAATCTGTATTCTATTCCAGAGGTTGAATGTCTCCTGCAGTTCTGAAACAAGTTATTGGTGATTGCAATTAAAATGTATTTTAAAATGCATGTTTTGCATTTTATTTAATGTAATAAAATGGAAATTCATTATTTGAAAATTGTATTTTTAAGTAATTAAAAATATGATGTTATAATATTAAATAATATCATGTGATTTTCTGGATTATGTTAGATTCTGGCTCTCACTGTTGAGATGAAGCTATGATGAAAATTACAGACCTTTCCATTGTTTGGAAAGGGGCAAAGTGGAAAAAAAACCTGGTGGATCATCAGATACTTATTTATTTACCTCAGTGTATTTGACCCTGCAAGTGTAATTTTAGCCATGTATTGATTCAAGAAAAACCTAAATGAATTCAAACTTGAATAGCAAAGTTTCATTTTTAAAATACATTAAAGTTGCAGGTTAAAAAAAAGAACAGTTCAAATTAATCAATAAAGTGGTTAATAAGTTAGAAAACTAAAACAGAAAATATTTCTTTATGAATGTTCTGCTGAATACCTGAAAAGGTTTGATCAAAAAGGTAGATTTAACAAGAATATCATTATTTTATTTTTGTCCTTGACTGAATCACATTATCAATTCAGCTTCCTGCTGTTTTGGAAGCTGGTGTGTGGTGTCTGAGCTCCCTGTCACACACACCACACACTCTTTCTGCAACTTTAAGTTTATTTGCTGAAGTAAGATGTTTACATAATGCTGATCTGATTCTACTTCATTTTATTTTCTCAAAATCAGCAATTCCACTAAAATGCCGTTATCTGAAAAAATAGTCAAAGGTCAAGTCTTAATTCCCAAACTAACTAACTAATTTTCATGTACATGAGCTACAAGACCTTTTTTTTTTTTTTTTTCACTTATTTCAAACCAGATTTCCTGGGTCGGAGCAGCTTCTTGAACAGGGTGGCGACTAGTTTAGAGGGTTAGCAGGGTGACGTTACCATATGTAAACCTCTGGCTTCTCTCAGCAAGAATACCTCTATGAAGGCTTATTTTTATGGAAATGCGACTACAACTTAAGGGTTAGCAATAAGCGCCATGCCGCTGTCTTGATGCGCGCGCGCTTAACGCAAACTTTCAGAAGTAAGTCTTAATGTTTCCTCTGCTTTCACCTGCATCCTGTAGGGCCTGGGGCGATGCATTCACTGGCTCAGGAAATTCAGGGCTTTTCCAAAAACCGGCTGAAGAAGCAGTCCACTCGCATCACCACGGTGACGGGCAGGAAGTTGCTGGAAAAGAGGAGTGATGGAGCAGAGGGTGAGGTGGAGCAGGTGGAGGAGCTGGAAGAGGAAGGCGGGTGTGGATTTGTAGAAGATACGAGCCTTGATCTTCAAGTCGGTGTAGTCAGACCCTTCCTGCTGCTCGGTAACAGTTTTCATTATTTTGCTGTTTTTTTAATGTAAAATGTTCTGATGGGGGGAAACTGTGGTAATAAATAAACTGATTAATTAGATAAACTAGAAAACTTTTGAGGTGGCTGTTTATTATATAATCAGTTTCTACAGTCAGGAAACAGGCTTAGCTGAAAAACAACAGATTTGAACAGTTTCTTTTTGTTGCCAACATCAAAGGAAACACAAAATAGACTAAAAAGTAACATAAATTGTCGATAAATATATGAAATTAAATTAAAAAATGAAATAAAACAAACTAAAAAAGTATAGCTGCAAATTGAAAAAAAACCCAAGAATTATCACTTTCTCTACAAGTTTTCTGCATTTCTTAATTGTGGTCATGCTAATGCTAATGCTAGCTGAAAGGAGGAACACTTGAATGTATGTTTTTCAATTTAGAAACAAACAACAAATCCTATGTTTTTTTTCTCCTTGAAGTCAGAAAATGTAATATTTATTTTCCACAAAGCAGCAATTTTTTTTCTTTTTCAAATCAGTCATGATCAACAAAATTCAACCTTTCTGAAAAAAAACCAACAACCCAAAAATCGCTTTAATATCAAAATAGTGACAATTAAGTAAAAGATTGAAACATAAAATAAATAATTGCAAAAACATTCACTCCCTTCAAAATAAAGCATTCAGTTTGATCACCAAGATGTATCGGAACCAAACATGTTTGACCCCCAAAAAGAGGAGAGGAGATGAAGAGAAACAGTTTTATTTCATATTGTAGAGTCTAACGTTAAAAGGTTATAATATAGCATAAAACAATTCTCGTCAATAATATGTGCCTGTTTGGATGCTTTCTTATATTTTTAATTGATAAAAAGTGAAGGGTCTTACAATAAAAACAAAAACCATGAAATAAAACTCTAATAAATGTTCATAATTTGAGGGCTCATTTAGTCTTCTTTCTATTTCTTTTTTCTTCCTTTTTGTGCATTGACTTTGGTAACTTTGGTCTGCGGTTAACAATAGTCACTGCACAGTTGCCAACTTAGCAGCTTTCTCACTAGATTTAAATGAGTATGGGCCTAAAATGGAATCAGTAGTTCACTTTAAAAATTGGTGCTCAGTCAGAAAACTGCAATATGTGCACACCTGAGTGGCGCCTGTCATTGCTGCTGAAAATGTGTTGGATGAGGATCAAAGGAGGATGAAGACATTGTTCACGTATGGTCAGCTTTTTCATTAAGTCTCATCTGCTGATGTGGCCCTGACCACCTGATTTGATTGGACTAACATGCCACACAATTAGCATGTCGACAAATAAACACTTTGCATGCTGGGAGAGCCTCATGGTTGCTCTTGAGATTTAATGATACTCTTGATCTTCTGTCTCAAAGACCACAAAGGTCATTATTAAATAAATATATATTCCTAATGACAAATAAATCAATGTCATTAACTTTAAATTCATCTCAGGGAGAATGGTGACCCGTCCCGCTTGCTGAAGGACGCAGGTTGCTGTCTCCACATGTCAGCATCCGTCCATCCGTCCCCACTGAAGTGTCCCTGAGCTCAGTGCTGAATCCCCAACCAGCTCTGGAGGGTTGCTCATTTCTGTTGCAAATACTTGACCTCACAGCAAGAATCAGAACAAATTCCTCAGCAGAGATATGATAGGATCTCCGTTTGGCCCATAGAGGTGACTCATTCTGTCATTTCAATGGGTGGTTATAAAAATGTTCACTTTGTAGAATTTTGTGACATTTTACTGTTAGTATATTTCACTTCTGATTCTGATATCTGAGCTTTACTATCGGCAGATACCGATCCGACAAAGAAAAACAGCATCGAATTCATTAGAAACATTTATTTTTTTAAAACAACAGACATAAATGTGCTGAATTAACGGCATCAGTACAGTACTGTTTAATACACAGCTTGTTCCAACATGTAAAAACAACATAACTTTCATTTGTTCAGTCAGTGTGATGAGGGGTTTAACAGCCAATGTAAAATAAAAAGAAACTGAAACCGACTAAAACTTCCTGTATCAAACATATAAAGCAAGGGTGTCCAAAGTGGGTCTTGGAGGGCCGGCATCCTGCATGTTTTAGTTCTCTCCCTGGTTTAACGCACCTGAATCCAATGATGGCTTGTTAGAGGCCTGAGGAGAACACTGACATGCTGAGAAGGTTGTTGTTACCACCAGGGAGGGAACTGAAACATGCAGGATGCCGGCCCTCCTGGACCCACTTAGGACACCACTGATAAGAAGAATAGACTGCAGCAAACTTTCTTTCATATGAGTCAGAAAGTGCAATTGGGAATTCTAAATATAATGGCAATAATAGCAAAGCTTCTACTTATTGAGTGTGTTTTTCACACTTTTTCAATCATGGCTTCATCTCAACTTACTTTAATAATTAAAGGCAGTACAGAAAGTGTTGTTTTGTGCATTTGAGATTAGACTTTAGTACATTTAGAACCTGGTCCTTCTTTCCTTCTTTCCTTTCTTCTTTCTGTCTGTCCTTCTGTCTTCCCAGTGATTGGACATCTTGGACTCCTGCCCTTTGATTGATCAAATGTTATTCACTGCAGTTTTCATTTGAAAAGTTTCAGGCTGAATCAGCGTTCTTGAACAAATTAAAATTGAGCAAATACAGTTTTTGATCTTCTCAAGCTCAATACCAATGAAAAAGGAAAAAAGTAACTTCTCTCAGTATTCTGCTGTTAAGAAGAATTTAAAGCCTGCTCGCATCTTTTCACAGATATGTCACTTTAAATCTTTTCTTTCTCCACTGGTGACGCATAGCTGGCTTAATTCCTCACACTGACTTTCTATCACTTGGATTTAGATTTACTTCCTAACGCCACAAGTTTGGCATTATGTCAAAGTGTCTTGGCTTATGCAGAGAGTGCAAATGTTGCACTTTGAAGACGGAATCTGCCGCAGAGAAACCTGGAGGAGTTCCCTCCATCACACTCTGCTTCCTGCTCATACATCTCCTTCCAGCTTCACCATTCACAACCTCTGCTGGTGTTGTCATGATGAGCTGTTTGACAAATGGAGGAAGACTCTTCTTTCTATTTGGCTGTCAGGGATTTTCTGCCTCCCTCAGCTGAAATAGTCACTCATTTACCTCTCCTCACTTTCTCCTTTCCTCTACGACCTTCTTCAGCTGCGTTCAGGCATCATCATGACAATGCCTCCGCTCAGTCTTTTCAGGAAAAATCACCAATGTGCCGGCACGCAGTCATAGATAGTACTGAATGTTTATCGCAGCAGTTCGCTATAAGCCACGTCTGGTGTAACTATACAAATAATTTGATTTCTAACCCCTTTTTTTCCCTTCCCAGGCTTTAAGCCATTTCACTGTTGGTTTCTGCTGACTGATATCTTCCCAGTTTGCAGCTGCAGCTGTTCAGAAAGGATTGTGTGTCTGGATGTTTCCCACTAAGGGATAATGTTGCTGATACTCTGCAGTTTTTGCTTTCCAACTAATTTTTATTTGAACATTTCCCAAAAGGTGAAAATTCATACAGTCTTTCAATGTCAACAGACACTTGTTAAAATTCCAGGTTTTTGTGATAAATGAGACCAAGATGGACTATTAAATTCTTGCACACAAAATACAGCATTTATGTTGTAATATTGACCTAAAACCAAATGAATTTAATTTGGCAATATCTCAGTAAAGCAGGCATGCATAGTGTTAAATGGAGAGTTTGTTATTCAGTGTTATGCCTGGTTTCATTTAAACATGTCCTATTTAATCTGGTTAACCTGAAATAAGGTTCTGTTGTTCTACTTTCCACTTGCTCTTCACTTTTTAAATTTATATTTAGTGCACTTTTCCTCCCCTAAGTTTTCCAGATCAATTCTAAAGTGCTAATATGCTTGGTTGTTTTGTAAACTTTTGGTTGAATAAAATGTTGGTAATCAGCTGTTAGGAGTTCTTCAAGTAGCTCAACGAGAGCTTACAAAGCTCAAGACTTTGTAGGCAACAGAAAACTCATTGGTTTGTCATTGTGAAAAACGTAAAATAAAGAGCTTTTTTTTTTTTTTTTTTTTTACCATTTCTTAATTGACTCTGTTCTATTACTGATCCAAATCTGTCAGAAGGTTGTGAAGAAAACAAGATTATGTTTTAATTCCATCCATCTATTCATACAGCTTAAAATCCCAAAGAGAAAGAAAAAAAAAGATCGAGTTTGTCTTTCTTAAGTGCCTATAATCACATTTTGAGCTCTTAGGAGCTGTTGAATATGCTCTTAAGGGCCAAGCCTTGCTGTCTGTCTTCTGATCGTGTCGTTTCTGCCGTTTCAGCCTCTCAGGATGCAGCCCACGACATCGACACCATGCAGAGATTTAAGGTCAGTACAAGGGGATCAATAGTGCGGGCATGACCTTGCCTTTTGCCGCGATAGCATGGGCGGGTGATGTGAGATCAAAACCAGTCATGCAGAGCTTTCCTTCTGAAACCCTGCGAAACCACCCTGAGGAGCTTCATGACTCATGCAGTGACAGTTTAGCACAGCAGAGGGAGTAAATGATTACAGGATGTGTTGGTGCTGCTCCTCTCTGCAGTGCCTGCTCCCAGGCATGAGCATATTGCTGCCTGTGCAGTCTCAGGATGATGAATTAGAGAGATTACAAACACCTTCCGTTCCTGTTGCAGGGATGAAGCCCTGGCTGCTTTAAGTAAGTTTCTCTGCTAGCTGTTAATGCACAGGAGAGGTGACGTTTCGCCTAAAGGCGCTTTGTAAAAATCTTTTTCCTGCTAGTCATAAAAATGTATCTGAAGCACAGTGTGTTCTCACAGTGGAGATGAAAACTCAACAGGAATTTATTGCTCTGGTGAACATTGTGTTTTTTTATATATTGTTGGAGATCTTTATTTTTCTGTATTTGTTTGCTTTGTTTCCAGATTACAGATTGCTGTATTATGAATCTGTTTACCTTTTACTCAAATGTTCTTGTTAATTCTTCTAAGATTAAGGTTCACTCACCACATCAATATGTCAGTCCACATCACATTTTGCTTCCATGACTGAACCAATAATCTGAGAATAAAAGTGATTAACTATTAGCGGGTGATGCAGGACAGCCAATATGCACTTAGAATTTAAGACGCATCAAAGATAAATGTTGTTTTTCTTAAAGGGGCAGTATTATGTTTTCCAGGCACATTGTACCTCTTTGTAGCACAATAAAGTATTTTTTTTTTGCTATCTATTATTTTTATGTTTATTGTTGCTATACAGCCACAAAAAATAGGTATAACTCAACATAATCTGGACAATGAAGTAACTATGTTAACTTCAGTTGTTAAAAAAATTCCATCTACATATATACAGTTCCACCAGGTGTCTACTAATTGCTGCTGGCTAGTCTGAAGGAGTGGCAAGCAGCTGTTTGGTGGCAGTTGTGGTGGAGAGCAGCTCGGTAAGTCTCACTCTGTTTAGTGCAGCTGAATGGTTGCATTTGAGATTTAAGGATTTCTCAAACATGCATAAAAAAATCAAGGCAATGCACTGGGACAGCCATTGATAATGAAGTGCATCAATCCTTCTGGTTCACTAGACTCTTGTCTGCTAATATTTGAAGTCAAACTTGAAGCATGTACTGAACAGGACTAATCTGGCTGAAAAAAAAAGGGTCAGAGTCTCAGTGTCTTTTGCTGCTTGTTTAATTCCAATAGATATTTTCAGACCTTTTAGCAGGAAAAAATGAAGCTTGAACTTTTTAGTTAATCCCTTCAGTGCTGACTTGGAAAGATCTGATCAAACTTTAAAGTGGTGACACACTGGAGGCGATGCATGACTGTGTGTTAGCTTCTCAGTATCACTGAATGCACCAGCTCCACTCGCCGTGTTTAACAGAGCGTGTACGTGTGAGCAACTTTTATGTGTGAGGAAAATAATCGAAAAAGCCCACAGGAGTCGTCTTGTTGATGCGCGAACTCAGTCGTGAGAATTTACACAACCAGACACTGATATCAAACATGTATGAACTTACAGCTACATCAGACTTTGTTTTTAAATATATATATCAGAGTCTCAATGTTTTCTGTTATCTATTATCTTATTATTTAGACTTAGTCGTCTAAATAGTCGTTCCGGCAGGTCTGCATGTCATGCCCCGGCTCAGTCTGTCCTGCTCCTACTGTATTTATTGCACCACGAGTGGAAGAGTGAGTCACTGTGGTGTCTGGCCTGCCATCAGTCCAACATGAGAGGGGGGAATAGCTGCCCAAAGGACATTTGTTGTTATTATTTTCCAGTATGTGATTCCAATCATGTTGAAGAACAAGTGGTCACTGACTGAAACATTAAAAGCAATGATTCCTGAAGCTGTTGGCAAGCTACGGCTGGAAAGCAGAATAAACAAAAGATGCAGCTGGTCTGGGTTTGTTTCCCATCAACAATTCTCTCTCTGCTTTTGTAAACTCCTTTGTGGATTTGTTGTGATGTGCTCTGAAATGTAACTGCTGTGAAACAACTGGAAAGTAAATGTGTCCAGATCATCGTTTGAAAAGTGTTGCCTGTGATACTGTAATTTTTAAAATGTGTTTCAGTAGCTCGCATTGACACAGTGCTGATTTATAAAATCATAATAAAAACACAAAGATCCCGGTGCAAGTTATTTGTCATAAATCCATTTTTATTATCTGAAAATATCAAAAAGATGATGCACAATCTCTGCTGCGCACTCTGATCTAGCACTTTAATTCTCAACTAGACTTGGACTTAGACTAACAACTTTGGAATTGCTTTAGAAAAGAAAACAAAGCAAAAGAATCCTATTCATTATAATGTATTTCTGTGCTTTGAGAGGAAAAAATAGAAGAGAACCCTGTGAACTCTTGTACAAATACCAAGGTTTGGCATGATTCATCAAGTTGCAACTAATGGGCTGACATCGCTCTGTTTGCTTCTGCTCTGCTGCAGCTTTTTAAACAAACTTTTTTATGGTTTTATTTACATTTTAAATCATATTATTTATTACAAGCAGCATTGTTTTGCTGCAGATGGATGGTGTCTCCTCCTTCAGTCCACAAACATGACTGTTTGGTTAATTGGTCTCTAAATTCTTCTTAGATATGAGTGTGTGCATTGTTTGTTTCATCAATGAATTTAAGACTGTAAAATACATATTACACATACATACTATGTGTGCAGCGTTTTGGAGAAATTGTAGTCAAACATTTTACAGAATAGCTTTGGATTCAACATGTTGGAATGACACACAACTTTAGAAATGTGTGATGCTGTGAGCTCTGCTGGAGCCAAACAAACCATCATCCTCCTGCTACTTCTTCTTGGTGTTTGCCAGTAGCAACAACCGACATATGCTTCCTGTAATGCAAAGAAAGTGTTTCCATTGAAGCTTTGAAAAATACATCTGTTTTGATATTTTTGAAAAACCAACTAGAGCAAAAGTCTTTTCAAAATTTGAAATAATGGTCTAAAAGTCAATTTCTCTGTAATCGTTATCTGTACTTTTTGTGATTATTTTAATCAAAAACAGGATACTGGGCTTTTGAAAAAAAAACAACAAAAAAACAAAAAACTAACTCTTGCTCTGTTTGGCTGAGTTTACTATCCTTATAAATCTTTGTTCCTGTGCATTGTGCAGTCAAGGGCAGCACAAACAGCCCTGAGGCCAGACTTTGGACACCCCTGGTTTACATCAAAGCACATTCATGTGGTAGAATGGTCAAGACAAAGTCCAGACTTGCTTATTTTATTTATTCATTTCAAACATGATAGCAGTATAAAATAACGGATACAAACAAGGAATGCAAAAGACACGTTTTTGTACCACAACAATCTTAACATGTTCAAAAAGCAGTGGGAAGAAGTAAAAATCTTATGAACTCCTGCCCCATAAACTTATTTTATGTTTTAATCCATCCATCCATTTTCTAACACCTTGTCCGCAGTGGGGTCAGGGGAGGTGCTGGTCTGTCTCCAGCGGACGTTTTGGGGGACAGGCAGAGTCACCCTGGACATGTTCTAATTTTTTTATTAAATAAAAAAAAAGGAAAATCTTGAGATAGGTTAATTAATTTTCCTTTTTTTTTGCTGTAGATTCAGCACACATGTCTAAATGTATCCATCCATCCATCCATACACACTCATGCGTTAGCCTGTTTACATACACGATTGTTAACTCTCATCCATATTTCTGTATCTTCTGAAATGACCTCTGTATATTTCCTTTTAAATTGTCTTACATTTGGACTTTGTTTTAATGCTTCATTTAAGTTGTTCCATAATTTCACACCATGAACTGAAATAAAAAAGCTCTTTCTTGTTGTGCTTATACTACGAATCTTTAAGTGTGAGTGACCCCTTTGACTTAAATCCAAATGAGAATCTGTGACAAGACTATAAACATTGTTGATGTTCTGAATCCAGTCCTACTTAGTTTGTCTGTTTTGCAAAGAATAAGCAAATATTACAATCTGTAGACATGCAAAGCTGGTGGCTATCGGCTGTTTTGCTTTTGCCAACCCCTGTGAAAAGTACAGCTTTTGTATTGCACCTCACATCTGTGCACTACTTTGTGTCGTCCAATCATCTAAAATCCCAATAAAATGAATGGACAACTTGAACTAGCCCAGTGTAGGATTGGGCTAATTTCAGCTGCAGAATAACTGGCTGTATGTTTATCTGATGTTACAGTGTGACGTGAGGTCATGATTCCAACTGTGTTTGGGTTTAATGATCACAAAACAGTTAGTTCCTCGGTTGCATTACTTGTTAGCAGGAAGAGTTCACTGTTAGTCCAGCCTTTAATAAGATCTGCTGTCAGTAACACAAGCGCTAAGCGGTGCTCAACATATCCCATAACATGCGAAAAAGAATGTTAGACGATACTAGAAGTCTAAGATCACATTAGTATGATGCCAAGATGCAACACAGGAGAGGACTTTGCCCTCTGAAGTGAGCTAAATTTAAGTGAGAGTAGACAGATACTGCAAAATGAATTGGAGCCATCTGTCTCCTTTCCTGCCGACCCATGACTCTTTCCCTTTCATCTTTATCCGTCCCTTCCTCCACGGTCTATTCTCCTCTTTCTTTCCAGTCCTCTCTCTGTCACATTCAGCTCATCACATGTCATCAATACAGCAAACTGAGCATCCTTCTTTGTCTCTGACTGGAGAGAAAAGAGTCTTCAAAGCAAGTCAATGCTCTGGTCATTTATTCAAAAATATTTATGTCTCTTCACTCAGTTTTCCCGTGTCTATTCTTAATCGATTTACAGGTGTCCCATGTGCTAAACGTGGCCTATGGAGTCACCAACCTGTTTCCAGATCAGGTGGTCTATAAGAAGCTTCAGATCCTGGACCTTCCAGAGACTGACCTCACGTCGCATCTGGAGGAATGCAGCTTCTTTATAGACCAGGCCAAAGAGCAGGTACACTTTAAAAACACAGCATCTCGCTCTACTGCCACACAAAGGTTGAGTGATACTTGAGGCTCCCACATACTCAATGCGTTCTTTAAGCCATTCAGATTCTGTATGCACTGCTGGCAGACGGTTGAGATTTCACAGTCGAGAGTAGCGAATGCGGAGCCTGGTAAAACCTCCCTTAATTACGCTTTGCTTCGAACAGAGAGTCTGGAGTCTTGGCTGTTGAGAAACGATTGCTTACTGTAGGCATGAACTCTGGTGAAGTTTCCATTCGCTGACTTTTTTCCCAACTCTCAACAGGACAAAGGCCAGGCCGAGCTGTGAATCGAGATTTTAGTCAAGCGAAATTGCACAAGATAGGGCTGGCCAGGCTAGAAATTGCCTATAGTTATTGCAACAAATTACTTAATTTCCCACAATCTGAATGGATGTTAGAAAGTTTGATGGGCTACATTTCTTCTCCACCAGGGCAGCCACCGCACACCGGTGGTGTGGGACACAGTGGCAGTCACACTGTGTGTTCTTGTGATTGGTTGTGCCAACTCTCACTCTTATCAGCTCATTGTTGCATACAAAACAGTTTGATGTGAGGACTGTCTTCTGCTGAGCAGCTTACTGTGCAACACTAAGTACGTGTGCAGAAAAATGTACCTTGGTGCAGATGTGTCCAACAGATGTCTGCTTTGAGTCTGCGTTCAGCATGCCACACACTTTTTTCTTATCAGGTGATCAACAACCGAATGTTACAGCTGGACTAAACCATGATGGAGAAGACGACAGGAAGTGGTAGGAGGACGATGGCATGATGTTACGTCTAATGACTTGACCAACATGTTCACGTGATTTTAATTACGTTTCTTTTTTACTTAATTTAAACACAGCAATTGCGAGACTGTATTTTTTTTTACATTAGGGAAATACCAACAAAGTTTTTCGCACATTTGTAATTATACAGATATTATATATACCATAAATATTATCTGTTAATTCAACACTTGCCAGTGGACATATTTCTTCTTATGGTGCAAATTGTATCACCAGCTTGGAGAATCCTAAAATATCTCAGAAAAGACGTGCGTACAAACACACTCATCTGTGTTTCAGAAAGAAAAGTAACTGTATGAAATCGATTCAAACAGATCTGCATCCACTTTCTCTCAGGAGATTGTCCCAACCTGAAAACGCCTTCTTTCATATCTGTCGGCCAATTGAACACACACAGCTGTTCTGAATTCACACACTTATCTGCAACTCAGCACAAAGGAGAGCAGCATGGCGGTCTGATTAGTTATTAAAAGACTCTGACTTTTTCTGCACCATTCGGCCTTTTAGTTATATCATATTAATGTTTGTGTTTCCTGGAACAGACTTGCGGTTTGACTGTCTGCGTGTGTGTGTGTGTGTGTGTGTGTGTGTGGGGTTGTGTGTGTGTGTGTGTGTGTGTGTGTGTGTGTGTGTGTGTGTGTGTGTGTGTGTGTGTGTGTGTGTGTGGGTGCGTGCGTGCGTGTGTGTGTGTGTGTGTGTGTGCGCTTGTGCGTGTGTGTCAGGAGATTGACCGTAAGCAGAACATAATGTGATGTGAGCTCTGATATGAAAACACTCAACTGGAGCACAATGAAATAACAGGAAAACAAGAAACTGACAAAACCAAATTAAGTCTGTGTGTTTGCTGTGATGGATTATGTTGTTGAGGCAATTTTCCTTCTGCAGAAACTTTTATTTATTTCTAAAGAAGCAAAACAAGGCTTTATATGTAGCCGGATTGACTCAGATGCCTTGGCAGATGTCGGGAGAAACCAGATGAGACTTTTTGATGGGTAAAAAAAACTTAAAAAAAGACAAAAAAAATGCAGTTTTTTTCTCTCCCTGTGACGCTTCATTAGATTAAATCATATTTTAGCCAGAGGAGCTGATTGATCGGTTTATTTTTTTAAAAAGGAAAAACTCAGGCAGCAGTGATAGCACATCAATCCCAGAGAGGCAGTTTAAATCTCCTGTCCCTCAATGGGTATTGATTGACACGGAAATCAAAAGTGTGCTCAGAGTTTCAGTTCTGTTCCATTACGGTCTGGAAAAAAACGACTTTATTGGCTAAACAAAAGAGACAAACGTGTTGATGTGGCGAGTTTCAGAGGGGAGGACTGGTGCACGTTGTCTAACGACGTGCCACCACTTTTTTAAACTCTGTTCCCTTTTCAGACAATCTATGCAGAAAAATAATTACATCAACATTAATATTAATTATTTTGCAATTGTTGACTTTGACATACGGCTTTATTCCGTCTCTACTTGCTTCATATCCTCTCTCCTTTCAGAGATTATTATTTTTTTTGGAAAAACAGAAATAACAGGTTTCCAGAGGAACAAAGAGAAGCCAAATGACGCTTCCAGCTGTGATTCCTCCAAATGTGTCGCCATGGGAAACACAACAAGCATTTATTAGAACGAGATAATTGTTTCTAAATGACACAAAATGTATTTACTCACTTAACATTTATTGTATCTGGCTAGATGAGATAGCAGGCTTTGGTTTTCTGTCACAGCCTCAGTAAACGGAAGATTTTTGTTTTTGTCTCTTTTTTTATGAATCATGATGGGTAAATATGTTTGTCTCTCATTCTGAATTTCTGGTTCACACTGTCTAATTATCTTTTTATTTGCAATGCAAAAGAATGCCAGGGACAGACAGAAAACACTGTTGTTGTGTTCAAGTTGTAGTAAATATCGATTCTATAGAGAACATCGAGTGCTGGGAAATCTGAGCATTGGTTTAATATGCTCAAAAATTGGCTTTAAAATGTCTTTAGTTTGTACATCTTTCCAGCATAATGCAAATCATATTAGTCCACTCAGCCACTGTATGTAGTTTATTTATTTATTTAAGAAAAGCCAGGCAACTAAGCCAACCATAGCCTGTATTAGGTGACTTTAATCACCTAATACAGTTGATTTAAGTCATAATTTTGCAACAGAATTTTTGTACAGTATAAACTTGTCAGTCACATCATTCAAACAGAATCTCTGGACCATTTGAATAGAAAAATTAGCTTCTCTATCAAAAATTGTTTCTGAATCAAAAATTCTTTCAAAATTAAATTGTTACCCTAAAAATTGGAATTGAATTGAATAAACTGACAGAAAAATTCACATCTCTATTAGTAAACACTGCTACATAGCAGCAGCATTATCAAGACCTTAATTCATTTTTTTTAAGACTGTCTCCTCTTTGGGAGAACCAGTTCAACGTTCATTTGTGTTTGCTGTGAGTTCCCACTGTATATTATGTACATTGTTGAAATTACAGTAAGTCTGCTGTGAGTGACTCTAAATTATCCTTAGGATTGAGTGTGCATGTTGGTGTTCTTCGGACTAGCAATATTCAACGCTTTTGCCTCAATGGCCACCACCTGGTGATTTTTGTATAATAATATAATGGAGTAATTTGAATTTTAGAAGAGGGCTTCTATAAAGTTTCTGTCAGTAATTGTTCCCAAACCTGTAATAGTCAGATGTTTTTTTAAGTTCACAGAAAAACCATGAAAAGCTCGAACCAGAGAAAACCTAACATTAGTCAGACTGGGATAGAAAAATATCTTTTCTGTTAATTAGTTTCCCCCACTGATAAGTACAGTGTGAATGCAAGGGGGTAAAAATGGACCCAGAAAAATGTTTTGTGTCTTTTTTTCCCCTGGAAAAGTACCTAAAAACGGCCTTTATCAGGGACCCAGTTTGACTAAACATTAGCTTTACTCTGCAAAAGAATTTCTCTTTTCCAGCAAACTGAGTTGGATGAAACGTTTGCGGAGCTGAAAGGTAACTTTAAAGCTTTGGGTGCAAAATCTCTTGAAAAATACAGACTCCATGTCTACAGTTTGTGAATGTCTGAGACACAGTTAAGATTCTGATGAGTCTGTGGCTGTTTCCAGCCTGTTGCAGAGTGAAGAAATAACCAACCTTTATCACATGTACTTTACTGCTATATTTGAGAATCGTTGGTCCTCCTCTGATCCATTAGTTTTTTATGATTTATTTTCATAATCCATATCCAGTGGTCGGGGCATCAAGGCGATCCACTATGTTTTTGTATTAAAATATGTTAAGTATACAGGAAATATAAAAATATTACTGGGTACTAACTACATGTTGTGGGAAAACATCACCAGTGAAATGATGTTTAAACCAACAAGCTGCCAGGCTTATAATACACTGGGGGAAACCCTGATATTATTTCAGTGAGATAAGATTAAGACCAGCTTGCTTCATTTTGGGATCAAATATCTCAGTAAATGTCTTAACATTTCAAAAAATATATGCTAAAACACTAGAGCCTGATGAGAGTTGATTTATAACAACTGATTGAGAAATATATATGTTTTCCTGTTGTTTTTGTGTTTTCCTGTAGGGTGGAGTGGTGATGGTCCACTGTAACGCGGGTGTGTCACGCTCCTCCTCCATTGTGATTGGCTACCTGATGCTAAGGGAGGGGCTTTCATTTGATGATGCGTACAACCAGGTGAAGCTGGCTCGACCTTCAGTTCGACCAAACCCCGGTTTCTATCAGCAGTTACAGAACTACAAGCCTTAAAGGACAAGAAGCTCCATCTGTTAAGTAACAGTCATGTCTTCTGAGGAGAGGGATTTAATGCTATGTTAACAATATAAACTCTATGGTACTGCAATGTTTTCTCCATGAGCTTTGAACTGAAGCTGAGCCACTGAAAGCTATTTCCTGTATGTCTTGCTAATCTAACCGTTTTGTACGTCTAAATCATTTGTGAAATAAACATTGCAACTTGCTTCTGTTATTTTAGTGAGATTGTGGGTTTTCTGTACATGTTTGGTTCATTTTAGTCCCCATGTGTTCGTGTCACAGCCAAAGTAATAGCCTGAACATGTTTATTTCCAATAGATGGAACGACAGAAGAACTGGACACATTTGTGTTTTTTGTTCATTTCAGTCCAGAAAGTACCACAGTTATAACCCAGTTCTCCTCAGGCAGTTGTCTGATTTCAGCACACTCTGTCAGTCTGGTTTGCTGCTAAACAACATCAGACTTATTATTCCACTGTTTCAGATTTTGTTGTCTTGCCTCATTACAACAGGCGATGTGCTCGATTTTCATCCTCATTTCCACTCACCGGCTTTGTGGTTTGACTCAACCGCAGAGTGCTGCCGCTCAGCAGAGGAAGAGGTGGAGGTTGGTTATGAGCCAGACACTTGGAACAGCAGATAAGTTCAGCCAAATTGGTTGCTATTCCTCCTGGCCCTATAAAGGTCATAGATTATTTAGCACCGCTTTAAAGCCGTGGACTGATTACAAAGATCAAACTTCCTTCTTGGTTAAAAAAAAAAAAGAAAAAAAGTGAAAATTAGGAGCGTCATGTTTTGTTTCACCCACAAAAACATCCAATAAATACATCACTCTGCTTTTAATAGCCTTTAGATGAAAATCGAGTATTGAACCAGTATCTGACTAATGGCAGCAGAGCCAATATTCTGTCTGTGACAGCACTTGAGCGTAGGGCAGTTTGGCCTTTTCTTTGCTGTTGTTCAATTGTGTATCACTGAGGACTATCAGCTCCAAAGCCAACTCGGGCTCCCCTGACATTTTTGTGACATTTTACCGTCTGGATGTGACGGCTCTCGGTATGGCACAAGCTGTCCCATCTGCGGAGTCCCACGGGGTCCGGCCGCCATCTCGGTCTGCGCAGGCCTCAGCCTGGGAATACAGAGAGAGAGGCAGAGAGGTAGTTTACATGCAGGATGTGGGATCGTTTCTGCTGAAGTGGTACACGCTTATCTGCTGCTGGCTTTTACTGACAGGACTGGAAGGGAACAGTAGTAATCCCTGGGATGTTTTTTTTTGCATTGTTTTTAGTTGGAAATGGAGGAGGAAAATTCTGTTCTCAAATAGAAAAAAAAAACTATGAGAATACTGATTACTTACAATATGGAATAACTGCTGCTGCTGAGATTTTTTTTGCATTTGGACAAATACCAGATATGAACTTTTCACAAAAAAAAAAATAGCCCTTTCTTACACGAGCAGCCATAAACCTGCGCAAATTCGGACTCTGAAAATAATCTTGCTTTCAGAAAACATGTCAAATTAAAAACCATCAAGTTTTTCAATAAGAAATATTTGTTCATATCAAAATTTGTGTATTTTGCAAAACTGCAATGGAATCACTTTTTTTACATCATTTCAGATTGGATGTTACTACTGGCAGAAATGACAAAGAAGATGTCAGGAAGTGGCAGGAGGATGAAGACAAAGTGTGTTTTTCTATGACTGATCACATGTACAAACTTATTCACATGTGATCTGGATTTTGTTTCTTATTTAGCTGAAAAACCACATATGTGTAATTGTTGTTGGTTTTTTTAGATGAGCAGAATATTGACAAAGTTTTGCACACATTTGTTATGAAAATGCAGATTGTCTGAGTTAGAATTGGTTCAGTTAGGATTACCAAAAGTATTTCTAGTTGCTAAATACCAAATTGTAAAAAGATTTTACAATTTGTTTTTTATTTTATTCCCTCAACAACAGATATAAATTGTTAATGTAACAACTGAAAAAAATCATGAATAAAAAAAGAGCAGAAAGAAGCATAAACTCAAATTTATATGACTATTCACAAATAGCTGTTCAGGAAATTATTACAGCCATATTTCAAATACAAAAATATGTAAACTTATCCGATGGCATTTTGCTTCTTTGTAATAATTGTCACCTTTTTTCAGAAAGAGATTTAGAATGATTTAATACACTCTCTATACTGTTCCATAAACTGAAATGCATCCTTACATTTTTTTAAAGTTATTTTTGCCTTTTCTTTTTACAAATCTATTCTGAATATTGTTTGGTAAGGAAAAAATGTGCACTTTGCACAGAAGTTTTAATGCATTATATGTGTATCAGTTCTATAAGTTTCAATAAGTTGATCTGTATCAGCTTGTCGTGTTTTGTGGCCAAATTTCAGAGCTTTGAATAAAGTAATGGGATTACTTCCCATCACTTTATTTTTATTTACTGTTTTGTGTGTTCAAAGAGACTTAAAAAGTTGTCTTCATATAAATGTTTTTCTTTTCACTTAATTTTTGCCCTGGTACAAATATGATGGGTTGATTTTATTTCAGTCTTGTCAAATCATGAGCCCAGGTGAAGCTGTGGAAGAGTCCAGCTGGAGGCTCTCTCAGTGGCCATGTAATCAGAAGTCTGGTTGCTATAGGAGCAGAACAGATGGGTGGAAATTATTATCCTCATATGTTAACAATGGTTCCCCAAGATCCACCACCTTGCTTCCCCGTTTTATTCTCTTCAGTTTTATTTCTCTTTAATTTCATTGAGATCAGAAGTCCTTTAAAAGGCAGCAGCCGTGCAAATCAAAAAGGAAACTTAAAAAACCAGAATAACAACGGTTCTAACAGCTGTCAAGAGAACAATAATCTGAATATCACTTACGCATGTAAGTGTTTTTAGTTGAAGAAGGTTTTGTAGATCAGTCCATGTCTGAGATTTAAGTAAAATGTATAAAATGATTACAATTGTTCATCATCTAAAAGTGGAAAATATCATTCCTCTAACATAATGTTCCAGGCAATTTTTCAGCTGCATATTCATCTGAAAGTCTGAAAAATGTATTTAATAAATCCAAAATAGTTTTTAAAAAGACATAAATAGAAGCTAAGGGTATAAAAGCAAAAGATTACTGGTAACCTTCACACTTAGGAGTTTCTCTTGATTGCTTTCAACATCATTTTACTCAAAAAGTCTTTTGTTAAAACTGTCCTATTTTTCTCATTGGTGGCTGGTTCCGGTCTGGTCACACTTTACAGCGTGGAGCGTGTCCCTGCGGACCATTCTCCACTCCCAGTTCCATTTAGAAATCAATCATCTATAAAAGAAAGTGTGCCAAAAAGTCCTCCAACAGCAGATCTGCATCATTTAGGTCCAACAAATCGGATTTCTACAAAAGTGTCTCAGAGAGAAACACATTGAAAACGGCCTCTCTGAAAATGTAGGAAATCACCCTGGCTGCAGTCTGTTTTTAGAAATATGAAGAAAAGCCTCAGTGCAATCACTCTGCACAAGGAAATGCACAGCCATAGTAACAACACTATATTTAAGGTGGTAATAATAGACAGAAAACACTTTACTAATAAGTTCAGTGTATTTGTGTTGCACATTTCAGGAAGAATGTTATGATAAAAACACAATAAACTGAATGATTTTGTGTGGCCCCAAACTTCAATTCAAGAATTGTAAAAAAAGTGGCTCTCCAGCATCTGTTCTCTTTTAGGGGGAGATTTTAACAGAATATTTAAAATCTTCAGAAAATGGAAAGCAAGCAAAATACAAAGATTGCCAAAAAATCATTTTCAATCTCAGCTACATGAGTTTCTCCTTCCATTCACTGTTTTCATTCACCTCCATTCCGGCCATGGCTTCTGGCACTTTGTCCTGGTCTCCTAGGAAACGGTGGTCTGTCCCCAGGTGGTCTGTCCCCAGGTGGTCTGTCCCCAGGTGGTTTGCACTGTGTACCAGCGACCCGCAGCTACGGCTGTTCGTCTACGGAAGGCCATCCAGCTCAAATATATGTGACTTTCAACACATCATGTAAGCAAAGCATAGACGTAAACAACACCTTGTCAAAATGGTTAAGTATTAAATTGTCACTTATTATTAACAGGTTGTCAACATGTTAAAGTTGCAGTATGTAGCTTTAAAAGAAAAAAAGATTTTCCATATTTGTCCAAATGTCACCATAATCCTGACAGTTTGAAACAGATCATCTGTCATCCTGACCTGCACCGCTCCCGGACAAAAACAGCCAATCAGGGCCAAGAGGCGGGTCAAACAAGGCAGCTCTTCACCTTAATTCCATATGTGGAAGGTGGCCAGCATGAGCTTCCTCTCCTGCCATTGCTTAAGTTACAGGCAGACTATCAGAAAATCAGCGTCATCATTCATAGCTTCTTCTGTTCGCTGATTGGTTGGGCCGGCTGGAATTGTACAAAGAAATCCACTTAGTGGGAGAAATCCCAGGCTGAGCTGTGAAAGGAGATTTGAATGGAGCTGAATTCCATAGGAAAGCAGTGACCAGTCCACATCGTCACCAAAGTACCTTCTGATATTTTCAGCTCATGCGGTTTGCTCTGCCCACAGCTTGCAGAGGCAGCCGCTCCGCCCAAAACCAGCACAAACGTCCTCTTTTCTGACTGTCTTTACCTCAATTTGTCTTTACCTCAATTTGATCCAGCCGCTCCAGCATTGTTTGGGAATCAGGAGAACATTTGGGGCAGGCCTGCGCCCGGTCCGGTCCGATCCGCTCTGATATGCATGCGCTCTGGGTTCATGACATAAACACGAGGTGGTTTTGTGCCCTTCATTTCACACCAGTAAGACACGACTAAAAGAAAATGAAAGCCTGCACATTTCCCCTCCCCTGCCTGTCTTCATCCTGCATCGAAATGTGCAGTTAGTAGAAATGAATAGCTCAGCACAAGCATGGCTTCTTATTGGGTTGGGCTATGCTCAATATGATAAAACAAACAAGGCAATAAAATGTTTTTTTTTTTTATTGTCTCTAATGCAGAACTAAATCTACAGAACTGCCCATTATTTTGTTAGTGAAATGAGAAAACATGGAGATATAATTTAAACTTAAAGCTCAGAGACAATAGAAGTGTCAGCTTATGCAACTGCACAATAAACCAAGCTAAAAGCTGAACTGGGAGGCAAATTTTTACATTTGTGCAAAATAAATCAAGCTTTGCAGATGAGAAGGATTTTTTTCCTTTGG